CTGAAAAATTGGACTTTTAAGTGAATCCTCCTAAGTTTTAAATGTTGATGTTTCATTTTTAAAAACCATGCAGGTTAAATAAAACTTATTACAGGCCACCAGTTTACAAACTTGGGCCCAGGTGATCTCTCTTCTTTCTCATCAGGACAGATAATCTTAATTTTCAGATGTCAGGCTTTCCTGGGATATATCCCTCTTTGGAGATAATTCATTTTAGATTTTCAGTATTGAGAATTGTCTCTTTGGAGGAAGAGGGATCTTTTAAGGATCAGTGATTCTAAGGGTTGTGCCTAGACTTGTAGCAGCAGCATCACCTGAGAGCAAGTTAAAAATGCAAATTCTTGGACCCTATCAGACCTATTGAATCAGAAATTCTGGGGGTGAGCCTATCTGTGTTTTAACAAATCCTCCAGGTGACTGTGATAAATGCTAAAGTTTGAAAAGCACTCCCTCTATTATAGAGGTACAGAGGTAACTTAAAAACGGGTCCTGATAATAGAATTCTACTGAACTGAGAAAGAAAAAAATAACTCAGGTAACTTTACAGAAAACAAATCCCAAACATGGAATTGCTTTTTCATTTCTTTAGATTCTCTTTAAACATTAGTGGATTCGTATCTACACTAAGAATTTTTAGAAAATCAAATTGAGTTATAATTAACATACAATAAAATGCTCCCATTTTAAGTGGACCGTTTGATGCCTTGTGGCGAATGTGTACACCCATGCAGTGACCTCCACAGTCAAAAGAACGTTTTCATCTGCCCGGCTGGCCCTTTTGCGGTCAGTATTTGCCTGGACTTTCAGCACCAAGTACCGCTTCTCTGTTTTCTGTCACTGGAGATTCTAGTTAGCTGTTGCACAATCTAACAAATTGACTCATACAGCACATATGGCTTCTTTTACTTAACATAATGTTTTTGAAGTTCATTCATGTTATCTGTATCAATACTTTGTTCCTTTATAGTGCATATTTGTATCCATTGCATGGATAATTTATAATTTGTTTATCCCCATTGAACACTGAAGTGGCTTCTGATTTCTTGATTGTTATGAATAAAGCTACTATGACATTCCATTATAAGTTTTTGTATGTTCATATGTTTTCATTTTTCCTATGTAGCAATGGAATTACTAGGTTGAATGGTAAATGTATACTTAACTTTACATTATGCTGCCCAGCTGTTTTTCTAAAACGTTGCACCATTTTATACTCCCACAAACTATGTATGCGTTTGAATCTTTGTTTTTGGCACTCAGGATTTTAATTCACTTCCTTTGGGGACTTTTTCACCTTCTTGCCACATAGAAGTATATTTGGATCTTTTTCCAATTAAGGCTGTGCAGAAGTTTTCACTGGAACTAGGAGTAAAAGGGAAATTCTTTCAACAATAAAGGGTATTCACTAAAAATCTGCAATAAACATCATACTTAGTGGTCAAACTTCAGAAGAGTTCCTGACGAAGTCAAGAATAAGATCGGATATTTATTATCACCTTATTAAGCAACACTTTATTAAATCAGTGGAATAAGACAAGAAAATAAAATATCCGTAAAAGATAAAACTGCCCTAATATTCAGGTAATACAAATATTTACTTCGAAAATTTAAGAGATTTTATAATCATATTAAAAATAGACTAGAAGGAGTCTTACAAATTGATAAACATTTAGAAAATAGAATAGCAAAAAAAAAAAAAAAAAAAAAAATCCAGGTCATAAGGGCAGCAAAACCTACAAGGTACAACAACAAATGTAGTGTACAATGGACAGAGATGCACACAACAACTTTATAAATGGAAGGGAGGTTTATCGTCAGGCAGAAGGGTCAGCAGTGTGGAAAGGCTGTAGCGGGATGCACCATTGAAAATGCTGCAAAGAACGCTGTCCCTGTAACATGATACATGTTATTACAAAAGTTAGGAAGGGCCACTGAACACTAATGCGGATTGCTTCTGGGCTTGGTAAGTGACCTTGTTGGACCAGAGCTTAGCCAGAGAAGGTCACATGCCCGGGCCGCTGGTAATGGCTAGAAGAAACTGCTAACTCATCATTTTGCTCAAATACCAAAATGGGGAGGGAATGAGTTTTTTGGGACCTGGGTTTGCTTTTCCTTAAAATCTAGCCTTTATGGCAGCATAACAGTGGTTAAAAGTGCAGATTCTGTAGATAGACTCTGGTTAATCTGAACCCGTATATGCCTGAGTTTCCTTATCTATAACATGGAAATAACAGCTGCTTTGTTTAGACTCTTAAAGGGATTACATGGACATATCTAAAGTGCTTAGAACTGTATCTGGCTAGTAGTACTCTCTAAATAAATTTTAGTTCTTATTTTTGGTAATAAATACACAATATTGAAATGATTTTGGAAAGTATCAACCCAGAGCCTAGGCTGGTGTGGCTTAGTTTGTTGGAGCATCATTCCATAAGTGAAAAGTCACAGGTTCAATTCCAAGTCAAGGCACATGCCCAGGTTGTGGATTTGATCCCTGGACTGGATGCATACAGTCCCCGGTACAGGAGGCAACCAATTGATGTTTCTATCTCACATCAATATTTCTCTCCCTTCCTCTCTCCCCTTTTCTCTAAAAGCAATGAAAAAAATATCCTTGGGTGAGGATAAAAAATAAATAAAAATGGAGGTATAAACACAGATAATTAAGAAAACAAGAGGGAACTATCAGCACATATAATATTTTAACAAATTTTTAGAAGGTGGAAACTCAAATGGAATAGTGGTAACCAATAGTGATAACCAAAGGAAATCACAGCCCTAACACACATATAACCTGTGGGAGACTATTTACCCTGCATAGAACCCTGGAGCAGCTGGGGACTCTGAATGCCAGTTAAAAAGGGCAGGAAATTGAGGGACTAATTTAAAAATCGGTGCATGGGAATGTTGGCTCTTTCTTCCCCATGATCAGATTATTTGATAGGCAGGTTTTAAACCTGAGGCAAACAATTAGATGATTATCTTTTTAAAAAAATCAAATAAACTGTTTCAGCTGACTTTGAAGAGCTAGTGTGGACTCTGGCACACCCAGACAAAGAATCCTTCAAGAACTGTTCATTGCCCTGACTGGTGTAGCTCAGTGGATTGGGTGTCACCCTGTAAACCAAAAGGTCACTGGTCCAGTTCCCCATCAGGGCACATGTCTGTGTTGGGGATGTGCCATAGGCAAGCGATTGATGTTTCTCTCCTCTTTCTCCCTCCCTTTCCCTCGCTCTAAAAATAGATAAATAATCTTATTTAAGAAAAAAACAAACCCGGTCGTTATGCTCAAGGAATATCCCAAATGTGCTTTCAGCTGCTAGCTCTGTATTTACAGGTAACTTGAAATAATTTTCTGAGATGTTCCTCTGACATTTAGAGCTTCTCCAGGGTAAATCCTAGCTCCCCAATATGGCCTCCATAAAGTAAAGGGCTTAGATTCAAGTCACATTATGTGGCTCTTAATTAGATTTTTAACCATAATTTTGACCAATCATCTTTTAAATGACCTACTTTTAAAAAAGAACTATTGATTGTTTTTTTTTAAGAGAAAGAGAAACATCGATTTGTTATTCCACTTATTTATGCATTCATTGGTTGCTTATCGTATGCCCTGACTGGGGATTGAACCCAGAACCTTAGCTTATCGGGACAATGCTCTAACCTAAAGCTGCCCAGCCAAGGCTAAATGGCCTACTTTTTAAACATAAGTTGAAAACTGAGGACTGGTATACATTTGAGGATGGCTGGGAATGTGAAAAGTGAACACCAAGGTAAATGTTAATAGCCTTGGAAGAAACAGGTAATTTAGGAGACAGATGAACTAAACATTAGTATTCATAAAGTTAATTTATCAGGACCCCACAAAATGGAAGCCATCCTGCTGGCCTGGCCCAAGTCACAATTCTAAACCTAAGTCAGCCTGCACTTATGAGACACACCTGTCATGGAAATCTAACATACATTAATCACACTCGTCCAGCTCAGCTTTAGCTAGTCTACCTCCCCCTAGAAAATAGGACTGTTGTTCTATAAGGAAATCCCTGCTCTCCTGGCCAATTCTGCCCTGTTTCCTATCACCTTTTCTCCATAAAACCTGCTCCTGTCCCAGATCCCCCGGGAACGGTGCCCTACTGCGTGTGAGGCACTGCACTCCCCCATCCATGGGTTGTTTCCCCGTGAATCAAGGACATCAGACTCGTTATTAACTTGCTTCAGTTTTGCCATTTGACAGTATCATAGGAGACATTTAGGAAGAATGTGTTGGTTAAAAAAAATAAGATGTCATGAAAATAAAGAATAGTTAGGGAACAACCAAGAGCCGTGGGAAGTTAAAAGTATAATCGCTGAAATTAAGAATTACTATTGGAGAGCTGGAAAATAATGGAGAGGCAGTCTCAGAGTAGAGCAAAAGCATTGAGAGAATATACGGGGGCGGGGGGGGGGAATACGAATTTAGGTGATCAATTAAGTCCCCACCTAGATAATGGGAATACTAGAAAGTGAAAAAATAATAGCAGACAGGAAGAAATTATCAAATACAATCATAGAAGATAATGTCCTAGGGCTGATGGGACACCCACCTGTTCAGATTGAAAAGGCCCAATGAAGGCCCAGTACGATGAATGTAGACAGACCCAAACCTATACACAACATTTTATAACCCCAAGGATAAAAGAGAAAATCCTAAAAGATACCATAAAGATAGAAACTATCACCATCCAAGGAATAAGACATACTAGCGCGGTAAGTATTAACCAATCTTAGCAGTTTAGAATGAAATACTTCCTGTTGTGGGACTTGGTAGGTTTTGTTATTCCTTTTGGGTCCTGACTAAGCCTTTTCGACATACTATATTAGAGCACTTACTGGAAATTTCTCAGTGAACTGCAATTTGTTTTGAGTTTTAGTTCTTCAAATATGTTTTCATGGCTTCCCTTTAAAGGACAAACACTGAGCGTTTGTACTCAGACCACCCATTCTACTTCCATTTGACTGGGACTCTGGGTAAACCTCTCGGTAAGTAACTTGCCATCTCTGGCAAAGGTGCTTTTCTTCCACACCTAAGTTAAAGCCCTCTTATTTCTCATTCTTTTTTTTTACGTGTCATCCTTGCGCAGGGGCCATGCTAATCTTCTCTGTATTGTTCCAATTTTAGTATGTGTGCTGCTGATGCGAACACTCTCTCTCTCTCTCTTTTTTTTTTTTTTTATTTATTTTCAGAGAGATGGGTAGAGGGGAGAAAGAGAGGGAGAGAAACATTGATGTGTGAGAGAAACATCTGTTGGCTGCCTCTTGCACGTCCCAAACCAGGGACCTGGCCCACAACCCAGGCATGTGTCATGACCGGGAATCAAACCAGTGACCTTTCGGTTCTCAGGCCAGCATTCAGTCCCTTGAGCGACACCAGCCAGGGCTTATTTCTCTTATTTTTGTTTCTCTGGAGACAAGAGGACTGGCACTGTGGTCACACAGACTTGGGTTTAAATCCTAGATCCACCACATAGTTGCCTCAGTTGGCACTCTAAGCCCTTGTAGTCAAAGGATATGAAATCTAGAGAGGGTCTTGGAGGTCTCTCCCCACAAGAAGTGGCCTTCAGATCAGCAAAATTGACCCCTGAACCAACAAAATTGATCCCAGCTGATCTGTTGCAACCCTGTACTTCTTTATCTGCAGGGAGGCTTGGAGCTGTGGTGCTGTCTCTTGACCAAATTTGAATGGAATGTCCTAACTAGTGACTAATGTCCTGCGCTAGGGTCTGAAACAGACCAGAGGCAGCCTGTACTGGCTTTTCTGTTTTTGAGACTGGTCGTGCAGCCTAATTTTGGTCACATGACTAGAAGGGCATAAAAGATCCCTCCTCAGAAGAGATTGTGGTTTCCTGAGACCTCAGTATTTTGAAAATACCTCGGTTGTTCATTACCTAAAATGCAACACAGCCTGTGCGACGGAGTAAGGCCACCAGGAACCGAGCCTGGGATCTGAGACCTCTCCAACGTTTGCCTGTCTTTTCAATTTTTATTTTGGTATTTTATCCTTTACCCGTATTCATTTGTTATGTCAGTATGCTATGTAGAGTCATGTGAGTTTTTTCAGTTACCCAACCCTGTGTAATTGCTGAAGATAGCTCTGTGAATGGGATAATTGAAACAGTTTTTGGCTTTATAATTTAAATAATGGCTAAGGCTTTGTTTGGGAGAAAGAAAGATGAAAAGTAGGGGAAAGATTGAGAGCCACTCATGGCAGGCTGGCTGCTGAGGAATTCCTGGTTTGAGTTCCTTCAAGTACTCTAAGTATTGATGGGAGGGAAAGCATAACAATGGAGTTTAAAGGTGGTCCCAGAGGCAAAGGAAATAGCTAGATGCATTAAAACAGAAATTCAGATAGAGAGGAAGTCAGCCAAAAATACTGTACCTCGGTTGGTTTTGGCTGCTTTGGCAAAAATGAAAGTAACTAAAAAAAGGCTTAGGCTGCCAACACCACCAAGTTTTGGCCAGTTCCATCTGTGAAGGAAAGGAACACGAGGCCAAAGGAGAGTTGGGCAGGTTATTTCTTCTGGTCATAATCAGACCCCCATCTGATAGAGAACCACTGAAGAGTCTCTACAAGGAATGGGCATCAAGAGAACTGAAACAGAGGAGCTATTCAATTGAAAAACTAAGTCACCGCATAGCTAAAGTTTACAGGTTCAATTCCCGGTCAGGGCACATGCCTAGGTTGCAGGTCCAGTCCCTGGTCCGAGTGTGTATGGGAGGTAACCGATTGATGTTTCTCTCTCACATCAGTGTTTCTCTCTAAAAAGCAATGAAAAAAGTGTCCTCAGGTGAGAATTAAAAAAAAAAAAAAAGCTAAGTAACCCTGAGGACTGATATAGAGAGCTGCTTGAAGAAATACTGCTGAAATATATTTAATGCATTATTGACAAAGGAGCACTTTTCCTTGCCTTAGGTACTGTAAAATGAAGGGCATGCTTGGTCTTAATCAAGATTTTTTTATTAAATTTTATTTATTCTTAGAGAGAGGGGAAAGGAGGGAGAGAAACATCAATGTGTGGTTGCCTCTAGTGCACCCACTACTGGGGACCTGGCCTACAACCCAGGCATGTGCCCTGACTGGGATTCAAACTGGCGACTCTGGTTTGCAGGCCAGCACTCAATCCACTGAGCCACACCAGCCAGGGCTTAATCAATATCTGTTCACTGCCACTTTTGCAGAAATGTGGGTAGATGGGCAAATTGCACATCAGCTGAGCTGGATAAAGACCAGGGCACATAAAACACACCCTGTAAAGCAAAATCATCTAATTCTGCCTGTGGGTATTAAATGGCAATATCCTTCTTAGGTTTCTGAAGTGCTGAAGATGCAGGCAAGTATCTTTGGACTTGTTATATGACTATACCAAGGTATGCCCTATTTTATGCCTTTGACTTAAGTGATCATTGTTGCTGTGATAAGAAGGCCTCCACCTGCTTGGACTGCACATGCAACCTTACTGTTGAGGGGACCAGATGAAGTGAGAGAGGCTGACCTACTAACATATTTGCTCCAACTTGGGCTGAATGATGAACAGAAGATCAGTATGATTCAGCCTTGGCTGGTCAGGCTCATTGAATTGAGTGCTGGCCTGCGAGCTGAAGGGTTGCTGGTTCGATTCCTGGTCAGGGCACATGAGTGTGGGTCCGGGTCTGCAGTTGGGGGTGTGCGAGAGGCAACCAATTGATGTATCTCTCACACACTGATATTTCTCACTTTCTCCCTCTCTTCTCCTCTCTCTAAAAGTAAATAAAGTATTTAAAATAAATAAAATCTGTAAAAAGAAAACACCCCAAAACCTTAAAAAAAAATCAGTATGATTCAGAAGGAATGAAACAGTAGGAATAAAAGAGTTGAAGAAAATCTCAGGACTAGTCAATCAAGTGGAAATGTCCATTAATCTGCTTTTCTTTCCCTTCTCAGGAGATGGCCACTCAGGAGGAGGCCACTGGAGAGAGGGTTCCCCAGCATGATGTTGCTTCTCTCATGGATTTGTCTGTTCTTCTGGGCATCGATGCTTTTCAATTGGAAAAGGAAATCATAAAAGAGGAGCAGAAAGAACGAGACAAAATGCAGAAAGGCTTTAACTCAGGCATGCGCAGTGAAGCAAAAAGATTAAAGACTTTTGTGACCTACAACACCTACAGCTCATGGACACCACAGGAGATGGCAGCTGCTGGGTTCTATTTCACTGGCGTAAAATCTGGGGTGCAGTGCTTCTGCTGCAGCCTAGTCCTGTTCCATACCAGCCTCCAGAGACTCCCCGTAGAAGAACACAAGAAGTTCCATCCAGATTGTGAGTTCCTTTTGGGCAAAGATGTTGGTAACATTGCCAAGTATGACATAAGAGTTAAGAACCCAGAGAACAAGCTGAGAGGAGACAAAGCAAAGTACCAAGAAGAGAAGGCCAGACTGGAATCCTTCAAAGATTGGCCATTTTATGCCCAGGGGACATCCCCAAGGGAGCTCTCAGCGGCTGGTTTTGTCTTTACAGGTAATTTAAAATCATTTTCTGAAGACTCTCTCTGGAGTTTTAAGTTTAGGTTTCATATTTCAGTTGCACTATGTTGTGAATTTTTCCTCTTATTAAATGTATTTTATTAGGTATAAGGTCTATTTTATTAAAATTCAACTTCAGTAATTTTGCTTTAGCTTTATGTTTCATATAGCATGTTAATTTGTCAAATATGTATAAAGTTAGACAGCTACTTTTCCTTAAATTTGGACCTTAGACAATACAGACAACATTCTTAAGGTCCTTAAAAAAAATCGTGAGGTCACCCGGACCCCAGTCTCCTCACCCATTTTCCTTTTGCTGCTCATATAAGATCTTTCTTTGATTCTTTTACGTGCTGCAATACCAGAGGGGCTTTTTGTTTGTTGGATGGTTGGTTTTAATCTTAGGGCTAACTCTAACATATAGGGCAAACTGCATTTAAGAAAACTGCACTTCGTTTGCACTGTCCTAGGCATGCCGTAAATGTTTTGGGAATGGGAATGAGAACTGTAGTAACAACGGCTGTCATTTACTGAGTACCTACTTGATGCCAGCTAGACTCAGGTTAAGCACTAAGTATCCCCAAAACTCACCCCCTCCCGCCATTTCGCAACTGAGTTCATTGAGACTCAAGGAGTTAAAAACATGCCTAAATGTCCAAAGAAATTTCATTGCAAAGCTACAAGTTAGGTCTTCTTCCTAGCAGAGAAGCCCTAGAATTTAGGAAGTTCTCTGCTTCCGCACTACTTCAGCTCTGAGAGCTCAATTAGCAAAATACCAGCTCTAGGAACACCTTGCGGGCATATTGAATTAAGTAGTTTGGAGTTCTGTACCTGAGGTATGGCCGTGGCTGAGGGGCGAGGTCCTAGGGTAGCAGGACTGGCTGGAGATTCAGCCAAATGACAGTGTGAGTGGACAGACGTGTTGGAGCACATCTTATTCCCACACAGAGCAGTCAACTCCCAGACACATGCTTTCTGATCTATTCTATGGTGCCATTGCTGGACAATCTCAATGTTTTCCTTCATATGTAGGGAAACGGGACACTGTGCAGTGTTTTTCCTGTGGTGGATGTTTAGGAAATTGGGAGGATGGAGATGACCCTTGGAAGGAACATGCCAAATGGTACCCTAGGTAAGTAGAGAAATCTGTCTCTTTTTTAAAAAAGATGAAACAAAACTAAAGACAAGAGTCACCTTCCTGGAGTAGCATCTTCAGCTTTGACTCTTTTCCTGTCTGAAACCAGAACACTACAGAATTTATTCAAGCATTTATTCAAGCAAAAAAAGGCCTGATTATATCATGAACATTTCAAATCATATTATTTGAAAATAATTTCTTAAATGTTCTTTTATTATCCTAAATACTAAGATATGTTTTACCATGTAGAAGTTTCAGGATCAGCCTTAATTGATAAATAAGAATAATTAACATAGGGATGATGTAAAATGGTGTATGAAGGAAGTTGGAAAGTAGAACAATATTTAAGACTTTGTTACAAATGGTTTCATGCTCTGCTGATTATATACCAAACAAAAACATTTTATTTTAAAAACTCAGAGTTTAGATTGTTGCAATGGTCTTTTAGTTCCCTGCTTAGAAAATAAAATGCATTTTAATTATTTGTAAGGCTATATTGACTAGTATTTTCTTTTTATTTATTTTTTAAAAATTTTTATATATTTATTTTTAGAGAGAGGGGAAGGGAGCGAAAAAGAGAAGTAGAGAAACACTGATGTGAGAGAGAAACATTGATTGGTTGCCTCTCACACACTCCTAACCAGGGACCTGGCCTGCAACCCAGGCAGGTGTCACTGACAGAGAATTGAACCAGCGACCTTTTAATTCACAGGCTGGCACTCAATCCACTGAGTCACACCAGCCAGGGCTGTATTTACTAGCATTTTCTACATGACTTCGTATCTATCAAATAAATATTCATTTCCTTCACAATTTTTAAAACTTTCACTATGGAAAATTTCAAAGGTAGAATAGTATAATAAACACTTATTAACATATGGCCAAATTATATTCCATCTACCTCTCACCCATCTCTCCCCAGAAATAATAATAATTATAACCAGATTATAGTAAAGTCAATCCCAGACATCTTAGAATGTCATTTGTTGATACTCTTATATTTTAGAGTTATATACTAAAATATCTTTAAGAAACAAAACCACAATATTATCTCTCTTAAAAAGGATTAACATTAATTCCTTAGTACGTATTATCGAATACCTGAGTCAGTGTTCAATGTCCACATCACCCTGCCTCCCTTTCTTTCTTTACTGTTGGTTAATTTGAATCAGGATTCAAAGTCTACATATTACATTTAGTAGATATGTTGCTTAAGATTTTTATTATTTTATTTCATTAAAAAATTTTTTTTCTTTTTTTACCGTAATGGTAAGTTTTGGAATAAATTTTTTGACAGTTTTATTTGGAGTTTAATAAAATTCACCAATTTTAAATATACAATTCAGTGAGTTTTAACAATGTTCATTGTGCAACCATCACCGCAATAATAGAGATATAGGACATCTCTGTCATGATGATATCAGGGCATATTTTAATTATGCTTATCAATTATAGATGTGAATTTCTTCAAAGTAAGAAATCCTCAGAGGAAATTGCCCAGTATATTCAAAGCTACAAGGGATTCGTTGGTGTCACGGTAATTTACAACAGCATTTTTTTCTCAAGTTGGCTTTTGATTACCTAACAATATCTGAATTCGAAGGGGATGGGCATTTTGGGGTTTTTTTTTTTGTCATGGACTCTACTTCTTTCTTATTTCCTTCTTTGCTACCCCTATTTCTCATCTGGCAGAATCAAGAAAATTTTATTTTCTTAGTAAACTAGAGCCCTTAAAATTCCTTTTTCCAGGGCTGGTTTTTGTTTGGTCCGTCTGTCTCCCGGACAGTTTTTCCCTCTTTGACCGAGCCCAGCTGCCCCAGCTGCCCCAGCTGCCCTTGGCCGCCCCCATCTGTCTGCCTGCCTGAGATCCTGGCACCCCAGCACCACTCCCCACAGGGGGCCTCAGAGTTACTGTCTCTTCGCTGGTTACTTAGAACTATAAGTAAGGATTCTTTAGAGGCAGGTGATGGAAAACCCAACCGAAATTGGCTTAAGCGCAAAAGGGAATTGATTGGCTAACATGACTCAGACGATGAGATCAGGTGAAAACTTGACCTGAACGTGAGGGAGAAGTGCTTTCTGAGAAAAACCCAGTGCAATTGTCAGAGGGGGATCAGCTGCCCAATACCTAACACCCTTCTGAATCCAGTTGTCTTCCTGTAGCTTATACTTCCTCATTAGTCAAGGTACATCTGCGATACCTACATGCAAATCAGCTCTGGAGCTAGATCTCTGGGAACAGTGAGCACGGAAGGCTTCCTGTGAGGCATAAGTGAACATTCACAGGTTCTTTTTGTTTTGTTTTGTTTTTGCACTGCATAAAAAATTCCAACAGTAAAAGAAGCAAAAATTTAAAGAATGATCTCCAACACTCCTGCCACTCAATCGAATGAAACTCTTTTGGGGTGAGGGAGTTCTTGCAATTTTTATTCATCGATATGTGTATACTCTAAGTCAGAATTTTTAATTATCTTCAGGGAGAACATTTTGTGAATTCCTGGGTCAAGAGAGACTTACCTATGGCATCAGGTAAACACTCAGACATATTCCAAAGGCTTTGCTTGTTTATTTCTTCTTTTGTTCTTCTTTTGTTCTCATCCTTTTCTTTTTTTTTTAAACCTTCGCATTTTCTTCCTCATTTGATGGTGCCATAGTCAGTAAAACAAATTTTTTTCACCATATTTCTGATCTTTTGGAGTTACTTAGGTTTTTAGTATAAGGGAGCACAGGGGCATATGGTAGTGCTGAGTCCCTGGCTGACATCTGCCCTAACACAATTAAAATTTCTGGAAAAAATGGTTTTGAAAACATTCTTAAATGAATTAATATCTGTCCCCATTTCCTGGTACAGGGTCCCTAAAAGTCTCAAAACTCCCAAGTGATAAGAACACGAGGAGCATCTCTTATTCTAAAATTTGCTCTTTGACCCTAACCCTGACAAATTCCTAAGTGATAAGAGCACTAGGAGCATCTTTGTTCTAATGAGGTGGTGCTGGGTGGGCTCTGGAAGCTCCTGATGGGAGCTGGACACCAGCAAGACCAAGCCATGGTTAAAAGCCTGGCATTTTCCGTCGCTCCCCTCATTCTCCAGAGAGGGGAGGGGGCTAGAAATGGAGTTAGTGACAACACGCCTCTGTGACGAAGCCTCCATGAAACCCCTGCAGCACAGGGGTCAGGGAGCTTCCAGGGGGGTGAACATGTCCACATACTGGGAGGGTGACACACCTCGACTGCACGGAGACAGGAGCTGCTGTTCTAGGGCCCCTCCCAGGCCTCTCCCTGTCTCTTCGTGTAGCTGTTTGTCTGAATCTTTTATATCCCTTAATAAACTAGAAAACAGAAGTGAGGGTTCCCCTGAGTTCTGTGAGCCACTCTAGTTAACGAAGTGGAGTGCGGGCGGCCTTGTGGGGCTGGGCCCTTAACCTGTGGGATCTGACGCTCTCTCCAGGTAGATGGTGTCAGAATCGAGTTAAGTTGTGGGACACTCAGCTGGGGCCAGGGAACTGCTTGGTGGGGAAAACCATCACACACCTGGTATCAGAGGTGTTGTGTAGGGTGACAGTATAAAGGAGACACACAGGAGGAAAAGGCTGAGATTTTTCCAGTACATTAAGCCTATGCAGATTTAAAATGAAGCGCCAGCAGGAATCCTGGGGTTAAGTGGAATATTGAAGCAAGCTTTCATCTTCAGAAACTTTTCAGAACCAAGTTAACCTAAGTTTAATTTTTAAGTCCTTAGAGGGCACAAATGACAGGAACCAAACCCTAGAACCTGCCCAAGGCAGGATGTCTAACGGAGACCATTCCCCAGAGGGGGCACCCTAAAGGGCAAGAAATAAATCTGCCTGCTCTTAAGGGAGCTACAAAGAAAATTTATCTTTCTCCAATCTTGACACTAAGTTGCGGAGGAGGGGAATCTCCTTTAGCTTTTTGGTTTGTTTTATTCTGATGCTAGATGATGAAGAGATCATTTGAAAGGTTTTGTTATCGAAAAATATACAAAAATAAGATATGTATATACTCACCATATAGCCACCACTCTGCTTCTACAATTTAATACATGATCAGTCTTGCTTCATCTAAACCATTTTCTTCTTTTTAACCTTTCCTCCAATTATACTGAAACGAACTCCAAACCTCATATCATTCTATCTGTAAATATGAATGATAACGTGAACGCTGATACAGTATCAAAGCTTGCTGGTCTCGTCATGTGCCTTTTATTTAAGCTTATTGCAATGACAGCATCTTTGCTAATGAAGAACTACGACTGGACACTTTTAAGAACTGGCCCCCTGAATCTCCTGTGGGAGCTGCAGCTCTGGCCAAAGCAGGTCTCTTCTACATAGGTGAGTCAGTAGTTTACATAAAGCTCTTAGCTTGCTGCTCATTCAAACCCCACATGTAATTCATGATCCTGAATTTGTATTCATCTGGTCCCAACAATATCCACTCTCCTAGTTTTCTACAACTCCCTTGGGTTCAGAAGCTCCAGATTGAAGCCTTAAGGTCTAGACAAACAATGAATACAAATGCAGGTATCCTCCATTTTTTGAAAGTTAGCTTTATGCTACTTTGTTTTTATGAAAGACATATACATTAGTACAGGCAGACCTCGGAGATACTGAGGGTTCGGTTCCAGGCCACTGCAGTAAAGCGACTATCACATAAGCGAGTCATAATCTATTTGCTGATGGAGGGCCTTGCTTTCAACTTGTAAAAAATGTAGTATCTGTGAAGCATCCACGACTATTTGCTCAATATCCCATTGGTCCTATGTAGAATATTGCCTCCCTGGTAACCTAAGTTGTGACTTTGTCACACTGATTGGAAATGCAAGTAAGGTTTTGCTAATAAAGGCTTGGTGGTTATTACCAGTGTCACTTAACAAATACACATGCCAGTAGCACTGACTGAATTTCCTTACATCTAGGTAAAGAGGACATCGTCCAGTGTTTCTCCTGCAGAGGATGTATACAAAACTGGGTGGAAGGTGATGACCCATTAAAAGACCACACCAGATATTTTCCCAAGTGAGAGGACTGAATGCTTAATGTCTGTGAATTTGGAGGTGCTTTAAAGCAATTTGTCCCTTGTTTTCTTCCTCATTTTCTTATTAAATCTTTGCTTATTCTTCTGATTCATACTCTGAAGGATGAGTCTTTATCTCTTTTATTCCCTTGCTCTCACGACACCCTTTCCAGGGAGCCTTTCCCTCTTTATAGTTAGAGCATAATTTTGGTTAGATCAGTATTTTTACATTATATGTTTACTTATCATGACCGCATAAATGCTGTGCAGGGGCTGAACCTATAGTAAATTATGATTTATTTTCCCTTTCTGTACAAGTTTTAATTTTTGTAGAAAGTAATAATTGTTTCATTAGTACTTTTGCTTAATTTTTTTTTTTGAAATAAATTCATATATTAACCATTTTAAAGTATACAGTCTGGTGGCATTTAGAATATTCACAATGTTGTCCAACCACCTGGCTCTGATTCCATTTTCATTACTCCAAAAGAAAACTCTGTGCCCATTAAGCAGTCACTCCTTATCTCCCCACCCCATCCCACCTTAGCTCCTTAGAGTTAACCATCTGCTTTCCTTTTATTTTAGATTTATTTATTTTTAGAGCGGGGAAGGGAGGGAGAAAGAGACGGAGAGAAACATCAATGTGTGGCTGCCTCTTACATGCACCCTGCTGGGGACCTGGCCTGCAACCCAGGCATGTGCCCTGACTGGGAATCGAACCAGTGACCCTTTGGTTTGCCGGCCGGTGCTCAGTTCACTGAGCCACACCAGCCAGGGCTCTTTTTTTTTAAAAAAAAAAAATATTTTATTGATTATGCTATTACAGTGGTCTCAATTTTCCCCCTTTGCCCCCATTCACCCAGTACCCCCAACTTCCCTTCAGCAACCGCCCGCCTTAGTTCATGTCCTTTAGTAGTGCATATAAGTTCTTTGGCTGCTCCATTCCCTATACTATTCTTGACATCCCCCTTTCTATATTGTACCTACCAATTGTGCTTCTTAATCCCTGCACATTTTCCCCATTCTTCCCCTTCCCCTCTCCCAGCTGATAACCATCTGAAAGATCTCCATATCTATGATTCTATTCTGGCTCTGGTTGGTTGCTTTTTTAGATTTAGTTGTTGATAGTTGTGAGTTTGTTGCCTTTTTAATGTTCATAGTTTTGATCTTCTCCTTTTTCTTAAATGTCCCTTTCACATTTCATGTAATAATGGCTTCGTGATAATGAACTCCTTTAGCTTTACCTTGTCTGGAAAGCACTTTATCTGTCCACCCATTTTAAACGATAGCTTTGCTGGATAGAGTAATCTAGGTTGTAGATCCTTGCTTTTCACCACTTTGAATACTTCTTGCCAGTCCCTTCTAGCCTGCAAAATTTCTTTTGAGAAATCAGCTGATAGTCTTATGGTAACTCCTTTGTAGGTAACTCTCTGCTTTTCTCTTGCTGCTTTTAAGATTTTCTCTTTATCTTTAACCTTTCTTTGGAATTTTAATTATGATGTATCTTGGTGTGGTCCTCTTGGTGGGTTCCCCTTGTTTGGGATTCTCTGTGCTTCCTGGACCTGTATGTCTATTTCCTTTGCTAAATTTGGGAAGTTTTCCTTCATTATTTTTTCAAATAAGTTTTCAATTTCTTGCTTTTCTCTTCTCCTTCTGGCACCCTTATGATTTGGATGTTGGTACGTCTGGAGATGTCGCAGAGGCTCCTTAGTCTATCCTCATTTTTTTCTGAATTCTTTTTTTTCTTGCTGTCCTGGCTGAATGCGTTTTTATTCCTTATGTTCCAAATCATTGATTTGAATCTTAGCTTCATCTCCTCCACTGCTGGTTCCCTGTAGGTTTTTAATTACTTCATTTATTGTAACCTTCATTTTTGCCTGGGTCTTTTTTATGCTGTTGCTGTACTCAATGAGTTCTTTGAGCATCTTGATCACCAGTGTTTTGAATTCTGCATCTGATAGGTTTGTTATCTCCATTTCATGTAGTTCTTTTTCTGGAATTTTGTTCTTTCATTTAGGTCATATTTTTTTTGTCTCCTCAATTTGGCAGCTTCCCTGTGTTTGTTGCTGTGTGTTAGGTAGAGTTTCTTTGACTCCCTGCCTTTTCAGTGTGGCCTATTGTAGAAAAGTCACCTGTAAATTGTGTGGGGCGGAGCCTTAGGTCATCGCCAGGGTGGAGCATCCCGTTTCACTTCTTTGTGGCCCTGGGTTGTGGGGAGGGCTCAGAGAGGAGACAGTTCCACTGCCTGGCTTCTAGAGGTTTGCCCAGGAGGAAGCTGTCTCCTGGCACTCACCCTGTTTCCAGTCACTTCACTTTCTCCCCATGTGTCACTGGTGCCCTTCCAGCTGTTGCCCTAGTGCTGAATCCCAGAGGGCATAGGTCTGCATGAGTCCTAAGTCATGTGGGCCCTTTAAGAGGAGTCTCCTGAAAATCCAGCAGTTTCTTTCACCACTCCAACCCCCACTGATTTTTAAAGCCAGAAGTTATAGGGGTTTATCTTCCTGGTGCTGGAACCCTGGGCTGTGTGGTCTGGTCTGGGCCTGGGATCCCTCACCCCCAAGGTATCTCTCCAAATTTTTATCCACCACATGTTAATGTAGGGTTGCCTGTTCAGCATCTCTGAACCTCTCCGCCCACCTCGGAATCTCCAGCCCTCTTACCCATCTGGGTGAATGTGCCTTGTTTAAATTGTTGGTTGTTGGACTTCCATACAGCTCAATTTTCTGACGGTTCTGGGTGAAATTTGTATTGTAGTTAGTTCTAATTTTTTCTGTTGTTAGGGAGACCAAATATCTTTACCTAAACCTCCATCTTGACTGGAAGTCCCAAATTTTAATTTTTGGCAATCTACTTACTAATAATGTTGAGTATATTTTCCTATTTTCCCACACAGTTTCCCTATTATTTTTCTTCAGAAGTTTGTCTTCATTATTTTTCCCCTTTGCTCTTTCTTTCTTTCTTTTTTTTAAAAAGATTTTATTTATTTATTTTTAGATGGGGGAAGGGAGAAAAAGGAAAGAAGCATTAATGTGTGGTTGCCTCTCACACACCCCCTACTGGGGACCTGGCCCGCAACCCAGGTGTGTGTCCTGGCTGGGAATTGAACCAGTGACCCTTTGGTTCGCAGGCTGGCACTCAGTCCACTGAGCAACACCAGCCAAGGCTTCCTTTGCTCTTTCATATTCAGAAAGTATATGAAATGCCCCTCTTTATCCCTCATAGTATTCCTTATTCTTAGTCTTTATCTGATATTCATATAGCCATTTCAGCTTTTCTATAATTCATTTTTACATCTCTCTCTTATTAAAAAAAATATTTTAATCCTCACCTGAGGACAAGTTTATTGATTTTAGAGAGAGTAAGTGAGAGAGAGAGAGAGAGAGAGAGAGAGAGCAAGAGAAACATTGATCAGTTGTCTCCTTCATGGGCCTCAACTGGGGATTGAACCGGCAACTTAGGTACGTGCCCTGACTGGGAATCAAAACTGCAACCTTTTGGGGTATGGGACAACGCTCCAACCAACTGAGCCACCTGGCCAGGGCTACATGATATCTTTTTGACATTATTTTACTTTTAATTGATCTATGACTTTATATTTCAAATGAGTCTCTTGTAGGCAACATAGTTGGGCCTTGTTTTTAACTCTGACAATATTTGCTTTCCAACGGGAGTGCATAGAACATGTACATTTAATGTGGTTATTGAAATGGTTGTGTTCGAATCTACTATTTTGCTATTTGCCTTGTATTTATCCCATCTCTTCTTTGTTTATTTTTCTTATTTCCCTGACTTCTTTGAGTTTTGAGTATTTTTTAGTATTCTATTTTATCTCTATTGTTGGTTTATTAGCTGTAGATCTTTGTCTTTTTGGTTCCGACTTTAGAATTTACAATGTGACTGTTTTGTATATCACAGTCATCTTTAAATACTGTAACACTTGATATAATGTATGAATTATGTAACAATATACTTCCATTTCTCCCCTCCTATCTTTTGTGCTATTATTATCATATATTTTACTTCCATACATATTATAAATCTCACAATATAGTATTATATCTTTGCTTTAAACAATTACCTTTTAAACACATTTTTAAAGGAGAAAAAAATGTCTTTCATATTTACCCACTTAGTTACCATCCCTGGTACTTTTCATTCCTTTGGGTAGAGCCCAGTGGAGTTTATTCTCTTATAATTTTCCTTTTAACTGAAGAACGCCCTGTAATATTTTTTATAGTACAGGTCTACTGGCAACTTACTGTATTGGCTTTGTCTGTATGTAAAAGTCTATACTTTCCCTTCCTTCAGAGTCCTTTTTCTTGATGAGTCTATCTGCATTGTGACCTTGGACAGAAGCATCAAAAGCCTTATTAGCTATTTACCTGCAGCTACCCTTCTATTCCTAGACTCATCTCTAAGCCATCTAGGAAAATAAAAAGAAAAAAATGAGTGTCCTGTTGCTTTTTCTCCTGGTTTCCTGTGATTTTGCAGCATGAAAATGAGCCCAAGACAGTTGGTTGTTTCTAGTTTTGTCATTTACCTATTCACGTTTATAATTCTTACCTGTCCAAGTTACTCATTTGGAGCAGAGCTCTTTAGAATTTTCTCCCTTGGTTGTTCAGCCATAATGTTCTCCAACATCCTCCCTGAGTTAAGAGAATATTTATGTACCAGTTTCATGAAGCCTGGCAGATAGTTTTTAGTCCTCACCTGAGGATATGTTTATTGATTTGAGATGAAGAGAGGGAGAGAGAGAGAAACATTGATGTGAGAGAGAAACATTGAACAGCTGCCTCCAATATGCACTTGGACCAGGGGTTGAACCTGCAACCTTGATGAGCCCTGACTGGGAATGGAACCCACAACCTTTTGGTGTATGGGATGATGCTCCAGCCAACTTGTGCCACCTGGCCAGGGTCTGGCAAGTTGTGTCTAGAGAGTATGTTTAGTCTTCATATTGATGGAGGTTTTTTAAAATAAGCCTTTTATTTGGGAATTCTTTCAAAAAATTTTCATTTATTGATGAGAGAGAGAGAGAAAGAGAGATATTGATTTGTGGTTCCACTTATTTATGCATTCATTGGTTGCCTCTTGTACGTGCCCTGACGGGAGATACAACCCACAACACTTGTTTGTCAGGACAAAGCTCTAACAAATTGAGCTAACAGCGCACAGAAAAGGTACAGAAAAGGTACACAGATAATACAGAGTTCCCATACCTGGTTTCCTCTAATACTAACATCTTTTACATTTTCATGATACATTTTTCAGAATTAAGAAACCAACATTGGTACATTACTATCAACTCCAGGCTTTATTTGGGTTCACCAGTTTTTCTACTGTCTTTGTTGTTGTTGTTCTAGAATCCATACATGAAGTTTTCTTCTCTATTTTTCATTCTTTAGGTTCATTTTAGTTGGTTTCATGTCTGAATGTTAAATATATACTTCATGCCCCAAATCCACTGGTTATTCCCACCACTATTTGATAAAACACTTAACATTCAGTTGCTGAGAGCGGCAGTCTAAACACCTGGCTTGGTAAAGACCCTGATGGAACAAATCACTGGAAATGTTGATTTTATATTTAATATTTCTCATTAAAACTCTAAGAGTATTTTTAAAAACTTAATGCATTAATAAAAATGACTGGAAATATCCTTAGGCAGGACCACGTGCATACACTGTGGAGCCTCTTGCTGAAAACCTTTCAGGAGAGAGAGCAGAGCATGGAGTCCAGGTCCCATGCGCCTGCACAGGGTGCGTGCCTGGGAAGCCTCGGGGGCAGCATTTTTAAGAAATGAGTGAGCTGTATTTTAGGAAAGTAAAGGATTTTTTTCAATTTTTTCCTATAGATCTCCATTCACTTATGGCATATATATGCATGCCAGCTACTACAGTAAAAACTATAACCACCGTCTCTACCCTTGTGTACTTTACGGTCTAGCTGAGAGTCCTGTACGTGATCATTTTCATTACCTGATTCAAATATGTCTTAACAACATTAAGAGAAAAATATTTACACGACCAACGAGTCTCACTTCTTTATATTTTTAGATATATAGTATGAACTGAAAATAAATAAAGGAAAAAACCCTAATGCAAACATTTCCCTACAACTAACGTTATAACTTTTCACTTGTGTGCTTAGTTGTCAGTTTCTCCAAAACATGAAGGCCTCTGCAGAAGTGACCCCGGACCTTCGCAGGCACAATGAACTTGCTGAATTAACGGTAATGAACAATGCCATCTTGTTTATTTGAGCGGTCCATGGTTGACAACTGTTTTTGAGCAGAAATTGCTTTCCTAAATAAGTAAATGAATAAATTCTACAAACACCTGCTGAGCACCTACGATGTGCAGGTGTGGATGGGGATGCTACAGTAAACAAGTAAGACATAATGCACAGCTTCATTAAATGTGGAGTCAATCCCTCCAAAGTTGCAGCCCAAGCTCCTTTAAACTTAGAGGTGATGAGCGTCCCAGCTACCTGGATCCCACTGGCAATCTTCATTTGGAAGATAGCAAGGTCTGACTTGCTACTTGGCCATTCTCATCTTGGCTGGAAAGATGTTTCTTTTACAAAAGCAAATGACCAACCAAATCATAAACCCAGATAATAGGTTGACCCCTTTAACACAAGAAACACCTCATAGTTCTCTGGGATATAAGCCACTATCAATTTCACACACACACATACTCCTTATTTGAGGCTGTATGTTAGGTATATTATGTTTGTCATCCCACAGGGGGAATAAAAGTAACAGCCTGTTCATTTGCTTCAAGTTTATGTTAGTGAGCTGAAAAATAAAATTGAAAAAAAATTGGGGATATACGAACAGCTTATATTTTAAGGAAGAAACATAACCTTCCTATATCCCAGGTATGTAATATTAAACATGTTAATAATGAGGGTCAATAGCTGTATCTAAGGATTCTTGGAGGGCCGTCTTGCTCTAGATGCTATGATTTGGATTACCTGGAAGTAATCACTGCTTGACGCACCATGTCCACCACCTAGGAGTACACACTTACAGATGTTTGCAGATCATGTGTTACTCCATACTTGCAGCACTCTTCCCTTCGATTGGCATAAATACATATATGAGGATGCGCTGTGTTTAGATGATGTCTGGTTCCCAATTATATCATGATTCCTCACCCTCTTATACAAATTTTTAAAAATATATTTATTGATCGATTGGAACAAGAGAGAGGAAAGGAGAGAGAGAGAGAGAGATGTTGATTTGTTTTTCAACTTATTGATGCATTCATTGATTAGCTCTTGCATGTGCCCTCATGGGAATTGAAACTGCAACCTTGGTTTATTAGGAACGATGCTCCAACCAACTGCACCACCTGACCAGGGCCTCTTATGCAAATTTTGATCTAACTGAGGATTTTATTTTCAAAGGAAACCACAAGTGAAAGCAATCTTGAAGATTCAGCAGCAGTTAGTTCTACAGTGCCAGGTAAGGATTTTGAAGTAGCTCATGGGAGAATATATGAGGGATGACCCAAACCCCCCCCCAGAATTATCTTCTGGAAGGTAGGCTCCTTGTAGTACAGGTTTCCCCTACTAGGTGAGCCCACCTGCATCCGACTAGGCACCTACCTGCATCAGTGTACGAGCTGGCGTTGTTGTGAGGGGCTGCATTCAGCCTCAGTGAATTTTTTTGAAGATCCTTTCAACTCATTTGCCCATTTCATGATGGGTGATTTATGAGCACATCCGCCAGCACCATACTGAGTGTTCAGCAGTTTTTGATCAAATATGTTTTTGGGTTGTGGAAGAATTCACAAACAGGAGAAAGTGCAGAGGGTAGAAGTTTTTATTTTTACTTTCCCAAGGGAGGCAAAGGGTTAGGTGTGTAGAAATGCACCAGCCTCAGCCCCGAGGGGTTAAGGCTTTGGATTTTTATCCGGCAGTGGGGTGGTCGTAGAGCAGGTTGTTTCAGTTAGGCTGCGGCTTGTTTCAATGTTATGTTTGGGCGCAGGGTTCGGTCTAGTTGCTGTGGCCTGGTATGTCCTGTTTCATAAGTTCCCAGAGCCTCTGTGCCTTCAGGGCGCGTCCAGTCATTTTCTAGTCCTGAGGATTAAGGCTCAGAAAACAATTAGGGTCAGTCATCTTTATGGTGTCGGCTGCTCTGGGAAAGAGGGCTTGGAAAAGGGGCTTTTGTCCTATTAACCCCGTGCCCCACCCTCCCTGTTCACCCAATTTTGCCCCAAGTGATTATTTCCCTGGATGAAAAAAAGTCCTCAAAGGGAAACATGTTGCCAATGTGGAAGAGGCAAAACAAAAAATGGCAGAAGCACTAAAAATCATCAAAATCAATGAGTTCAAAAACCGTTTCTGAGCAGTGGAAAAAATATCTCGATAGGTGTATTACATCAAACGGAGAGTATTTTGAAGGTGACTGAAGTTTAAACATGTAAGAATAAATACACAGTTTTTTATAAATAAATTCTGGTTTTGGGGTCCCACCTTGTATTTGTGTACATACATGTATATTAGGGGATTTTTAGAAGAGAGAGGGTTTGTAATTGTGCCTCCTTTCTACCCTTCACAGAGATGGCCCCGAGTGAAGCCCAGTGGTTTCTGGAGGCAAAGAGTCTGAACCAGCAACTGAGAGAAACCTACATCAGTGCCAGTTTCCGCCATATGTGTTTGCTTGAGGTCCCTTCCCTTGTAGCCACAGACAATTTGCTGAGTTGTGACCTGTCCCTCGCTTCAAAACATATCAGCAGCCCTGTGCAGCAGCCTGTGCTATTGTCTGATGTCTTTACCAACTTGAACTCCGTTGTGTGTGTGGAGGGTGAGGCTGGTAGTGGAAAGACAGTCCTCCTGAAGAAAATAGCTCTTCTGTGGGCGTCAGGATGCTGCCCCTTGTTAAACAGTTTCCAGCTGGTCTTCTACCTCTCCCTTAGCTCCACCAGACTGGACCAGGGGCTGGCCAACATCATTTGTGACCAACTCCTGGAGACGGAAGGATCTGTTACTGAAATGGTCCTGAGGAATATCATCCAGCAGTTAAAGAACCAGGTATTATTCCTCTTGGATGACTACAAAGAAATGTGCTTGGTCCCTCAAGTCATAAAAAACCTGATTGAAAAAAATCACTCATCAAGGACCTGTGTATTGATTGCTGCCCATACAAACAGGGTCAGAGGCATCCGCCGATACCTAGATATGATTCTAGAGATCAAAACGTTTCCCTTCTATAATGCTATCTACATATTACGGAGTTTCTTTTCTCATGATATGGCCCATCTGCGGAAGTTTATGATTTACTTTGGAAAAAATGTAAATTTGCGGGGAATTCAGAAAACTCCTCTTTTTGTAGCAGCAGTCTGTGCTAATTGGCTTCAGTATTCTTTTAACCAGTCCTTGGATGATTTTGCTGTTTTCAAGTCCTATATGGAATGTCTTTTCTTAAAGCACAAAACTTCAGCTGAACTTCTCAAAGCAACTGTGTCCTCCTGTGGTGAACTAGCCTTGAAAGGGTTTTTTTCATCTTGCTTTGAGTTTAGTGATGATGACCTTAGAGAAGCAGGGATTGATGAAGATGAAGATCTAACCCTGTACCTGATGAGTAAATTCACTGCCCAGAGACTGAGACCAGTCTATCAGTTTTTAGATCCTGCATTCCAAGAATTTCTTGCTGGGGAGAGACTGATTGTACTCCTGGATTCAGACAGGCCAGAAGATCTAGATTTGGGACTTTATTATTTGAAACAAATCAACTTATCCATGGTGATTAAAAATTACTGTATTGGCTTTTTGAGGTATATTTTCTGCTACCCTTCAACAAAGGCAGGGCCAAAAATTGTATCTCATTTACTTCATTTGTTGGATAATAAGGAGTCATTGGAGAATATATCTGAAAAAGATGACAATCTAAAGCACCATTCAGACTTTTTGGAGCTAATGACATTAATAAGGATGTCACAGGTATTATCTCCACAATGTTACTTTTCACTGGTTTCAAACCATTTACTGTCTCTTGCCATAAAAATTGCTTATCAAAGCAACACTGTAGCTGCATGTTCTCCATTTATTTTGCAATTCCTTCAAGGGAAGACCCTGAATTTGGATGTGCTTAACTTACAGTATTTTTTTGACCATCCCGAAAGCCTGTTACTGTTGAGGAGCATCAAAGTCTCTCTAAGAGGAAAAATGAATATCGGGACACCCATACCAGAGAGTTCAGTCCTGGAAAGATGCTGGGACAAAGCACAGGTGCCAACTATACATCAGGACTGTGCTTCTGCCTTTGAACCAATGAAGGAATGGGAGCGGAGTTTAGCTGAAAAGGAGGAAAACATAATGAGATTTCAGAATATGAAACTCAATGCACCACCAAATATCAGCAATGGCTATTGGAAACTTTCTCCAAAACGGTACAAGATTCCCCTTCTGGAAGTCCACGTAACTGGCATGGATGGTGTGGATCAACATATGCTCAGGGTTCTGATGTCAGTTTTCTCAGCTTCACAGCACATTGAGCTTTATTTAAACCAGAGCAGGGGCTTTGTTGAAAGCCTTCGCCCAGCTCTTGAGCAGTACAAGGCTTCTTTCACCAAGTGCTCCATAAGCAAATCTGAGCTGAATGAAGTAGAACAGGAATTGCTTCTCAACCTGTCTTCCCTGCAATCTCTTGAAGTCTCAGAAACAACCCAGGTACAAGGTATACCTAAATATATTTTAGCTGGCTATTCTGATGATAATTTTATTTGCTCACTCTTAGTTTTAGGTGAATGGAAACTTATGAAAGCATGAGACCATAAATGATTGCTGATAGAATATCTATTATAAAATAAACCTTCATTAATTTATTTTTTCAGTAGTATGAATTAGTGAAAGACCTCTAAACAGAATGATCTTCAAACAACTCAGATAGAAATTAATAAAAATTAACTAATTTCAAACAATTCAGATAAAAAAATAAAATATTGCCCAGGCTGGTGTGGCTTAGTTGGTTAGAATGCCATCCTGTACACCAAATGTTGACGCTTCAATCCCCAGTCATGGCACATATCTAGGTTGCTGGTTCGATCCCCCATCAGGGCATTTATGGGAGGCAACCAACTGATGCTTCTCTCTCACATCGATGTTTCTCCCTCTCTTTCTCTCCCTTCCTCTCTCTCTAAAATCAATAAACATAAAATAATAATAAAAATATTAACTTAATAAACACAAATTACTTAATATTAGTAAATAATAATCTGCATGTAAAGATGATGCTTGAAGATTACCCCCACCCGACCTGCTTAATGGGAAGAAGGGTTTATACATTATGGGAAATAAATAAATGGTAAATAATATCTCCCATTTATTTGTGTCTTCTTTCCCTTCTTTAGGTAATGCCTGAAAGTTGTCAGTGTGGATTTTATATTTCTTTCATTCAGTTTATTCCTAGGCACTTGTGTTTTTTGATACTTGTGTAAAAATATTTAAATTTTTTCCATTTTCTAGCTGTTGCTAGTATGGCTTTGGTTTTTCAACAGTTTGTTATATGCCTTGGTGTACTTGGCTTTGTATTTGTCTTGCTTGAGGGTAACTGAACATTTTTGGATCTGTGGGTTATTTATCATCAAATTTATAAAAATTTTTGCTTCCTATTTTCAACATTTCTTTTATTATAGTAAAATATACATAAAATGTACAATTTTAACCATTTAACTGTTCAATTCAGTGGCATTAGATACATTTACAATGTTGTGCAGCCACCGCCACTGTCCATTTCCAGAAACTCTTCATCATCCCAAACAGAAACTCTGTAACTAGTGAACAATAACTGCTTCCTCTCCTTAGCTGCTGATAATGTCTATCCGACTTTATATCTCTATGAATTTGTCTAGTCTAGATATTTTATGTAAATGGGATCATAGAATATCTTGTCCTTTTGTGTCTGGCTTATTTCACTTGTCATGTGTTCAAGGTTCATTCATGTTGTAGCATGAACTGGAACTTCATTCTTTTTATAGCTGAGTAATATTCCATCGTATGTGTATATATATGTATGTGTGTGTGCTTTTAATTCTTTTAGATATATACTCAGAAAGAGAACTGCTGCTTCATATTAATAATAGTAATTTTATTTATTTTTTTGAGGAACCTCTAAACTGTTTTCCCCAGGGTCTGCACTATTTTACATTTCCACAAGCATTGTGCGGGGACTCCAATTTCTCATGTCCTTATTAATGCTCATTTGTTTGTTTTTTTAAATCATAGAGGCATCCTAGTAGGTGTGAAGTGGTATTTCATTATGGCTTTGATTTGCATTTCCCTAATGATTAATGATTTGAGCATATTTTCATGTGTTTATTTATTGGCTGTTTATGCCATTTTTTGGACACATGTCCATTAAGTCCTTTGCCCAATTTTAAAATGTGTCATCTTTGTTTTCTGAGTTGTAGTTCTTTTGTATATTCTGGATATTAAATCCTTACTGGACATACAGTTTGAAAACATTTTCACCTATTCTGTAGATTGCTCTTTTTTTGAAGACTTTATTTATTTATTTTTAGAGAGAGGGGAAGGTAGAGAGGGAGAGAAACACCAGTGTGTAAGAGAAACATCAGTTGGTTGCCTCTTGTATGCCCCTAACTGGGGACCTGACCTGCAACCCAGGCATGTGCCCTTATTGGGAGTTGAACTGGTAACCTTTCGATTTGTAGGAATGACATTTAACCCACTGAGCCACACCAGTACGGCTATAGATTGTCTTTTCAGTGTCTCCATGATGTCCTTCAATGTACTAAGTTTTAAATTTTGATGAAATTAAATGTACCTATTTTTTTGTTTTTTGCTAGTGCTTTTGGTAGCATGTCTAAGAATCCATTGACAAATCCAAGGTCATGAAGATTTTACTCCTATGTTTTCTTCTAAGAGTTGCATGGTTTAGTTCCTATATATAGGAGTTGTCGATCCATTTTGAGTTTATTTTGTATATGGTACTGTGAGGTAGTAGGTCCAACTTCATTCCTTTGCATGTAGAAATCCAGTTGTCCCAGCAGTATTTGTTGAGATGAGTTCTTATTTTTGTTAATCCAGACAGTAGCACAAGACTTCCCACACAGTAGTAGATAATCAATAATTCTGCATAAAGCAGATCTTCATATAGGTACCTTCTAGAAAAGAATGTTTTATGGTATGTGAAAAGTTTTCATGTGAAAATAGCTTGATGAATCAAAGTGATAGTTTCAAATTTTCCTTTTGGAACTCTTCAGGTTAATAATGGAAAATTGTGTGCTACTTTCTAGATCAACTCTTTCCTAATTTGGACAAGTTCCTGTGCCTGAAAGAATTGTCTGTGAATGTAGATAAAGAAAATGTTTTTTCAGTCATTCCTGAAGAATTCATAAATCTCCACTATATCGAGAAATTATTGATCCATATTTCAGTTGAGCGCGGTCCTTCCAAACTAGGTAAGAATGGCACTTTGATTTACTTGTTTTTACATCACTTGGTAGAGCCACTTGGCCAATGATTCATTTAAGAGTTAAAGTTTCTGTGGATCTGTGTGTATAACCTGTATCTGTGGTAAATTATGGGAATAGAACTTTCTCATTAAGAAAGCAGAGAGATATTTTACTACATGTTAGGGTGATCGGTGATGCCAGCTGTGAAAGAATTCACAAAGAGAAGAAAAGTGCAGAGAGTAAAGTTTTTATTCACTTCCCAAGAGAGGAGAGGGGCTCGGTGTGGAGAGACATGCCAGCACTGAGGGGTGGGGGCTTTGAGTTTTTATCAGGTAATCCAGGTGGTTGTAGAACAGGATGTTTCAGCTGGTCTTGTCTAGGCTGCAGCTTGTTTCATGTTATTTTGGGGTACATGCCGGGTCCTGTTGCTTCAGTCTGGCACATCCTGTTTTGTAAGTTCCCAGAGCCTCTGTGTTTTCAGGGCGCTTCCAGTATTTTTTAGTTTTGAGGATAAAGGCTCATAAAACAAGAGTCTTTCAAGCTAGTGTGGCTGCAAAGAGGGACTAAAAAGGGGGCTTTTGTCCTGTTACTACATGCTAGGGAATTGTTACAAGCACTTTTACAAATATTAACTCATTTAACCTTCATACTTGTTCTGTGAGGAAAGGTAATATTATCATGCTCATTTTACAGCTGGGAAATTGAGACATAAAGAGATTAAGTAATTTGCTCAAGGTTACCCAGCTAAAGAAATGGTGGATCTGTGATTTAAACACTGGGATTCTGACTACTACAAAGCCTGAGCTTTAAACACTGGTATATACACTGCCTCTCCAAAATAATTTGTAAAGTTCTTTTATTTTCTTTTTAAGTTACAGATCTGCCAGATTAGGTGGAAGGAAATATGCTGATTGGTAGCAATTGGAAGCATTTCCCTGTTTTTCTCATCATCCTATCATTATGGTTAATGGACAGCTTGTGCAGCCACCTTTCTTAAATATATCATTTAGCAAAATGACTTAGGTACCATCGATTCCTTAGTTTAGTAAAATTAAGGACTGAGGAAAACCAATGACTGAGGAAATGTAAATCTCTGTGGAACAGACATGCAGAATTGCATGGAAAGGATTCACTGAGCTGAAGCCAAAAGTAGTTCTTTTCTTACTTGTTAGCAATTTTTGCCTCAAATTTAAGTTTTATTTCAGAGTTGTCATTGCTTTTATTTCTTTGTCTAGTACTCCTATTGTGTAAATGTCATGTGCAAACTTAGAAACATTAGAATGTTAAAACTGAAAGTGAATTTACTGAGTCAATGCCCTAATTTTATAGAAAACTGATTCCCAGAGGAGGTCAAACTACATATCCAAGTTCACATAGCTTGCTAGTTAGTTGCAAAATCTGAACCTAAGCCCATAGTGGCCTGATTCTTGGATCATTACATCATGGTGCTTTGTTTTAATCCAATATTGTTGAATCAAAATAACAAGTAATGTGGCTAATCCTGGTAGAAATTTGTAATTTCTCCTAATTTCCTAAATCTTTGATATTTTACAGTTAAATTGATTCAGAATTCTCCAAACCTTCATGTTTTTCATCTGCAATGTAATAGCTTTTCAGATTTTGAGTCTCTCATGATTGTACTTGCTTCCTGTAAGAAACTCGAAGAAATTAAACTTTCTGGAGTATTTTTTAATGCCATCCCATTTGGTAAGAGGTACAATTGTAAAATTTTGGTTTAAGATGCTTCTGTGGACAGTCATGTTAAGCACTTTTTAAAAATAGCCAAATTTTAAACATGCAATTGATGTCAAAGAACTATTGTAATAGACATATAATTCTAAACAAGTTATCAAATAAGTTGTACTTGATTCTACAATTCTAAGTATTTCTACTTATCAGAATTATTTCTTGAGCAAAGATTTATCTACTTGATCATAGTAATTAATTCTATCTGAATTATTGTATTACTTTTTGGTATAAGAGTATTATTTTTTGGTATAAGAGTTGTAGCTAACATAACTAGATTTTTATTTTTCCTCTTATAGTCACCGTTTTGCCCAATTTTATTTCTCTGAAGATATTAAATCTCCAAAACCAACAATTCCCTGATAAGGAAACATCTGAAAAATTTGGTATGTTTTTATAAAACTGTGCCTTTTACTTATTCTTTATTCTCTTCCTCCCAAAAATCCTTCATCTAGTTTGCATTAGCTACAACAAATCATGATATGTATTAACTACCCTAGCTGATTAGGAGGAAGGGACAGTGCTGTTCAACTCTTACCCTCAAATGCCTTGACTGTTCTCAGAATGCCTCATTTCTTAGAACACATAGTTGCTCATTAAAGCACTATGCAGTTTCATGCCAGGTACCCCTAACCCATTCCAAACATGTTAAGTCTGTGTTGTTTTAAGAGTTTCTGGGATATAGGTAAAACTATCTTTTAATAAGGTTATGAAAACTCAGTATGTGAAAACCCAGATTTAACAAAATGATTAGCTATAGAAAGAGTTTAAATACTTCTGCATTTTTTTATGATTACAAAAGTAATGATGTCCATGGGGGGAAAAAAGATAAATTGAAGCATATTAAAAATTTTAAGTTTATTTGAGCAAAAATGGATTTGAATTGGGCAGCTCCAGTTTAGGAGACAGAGCACTGGAGACGACACAGAATGACTTTCATAGGCAGAAGGGAGCAGGAACAAGGAAGCAACATGAGGCAAGAAAATGGGTTGGTCATTGCAAGGTCACTGCCCTTTAGGTGATCTCAGGGGTCAGCCAGATTCCCTAACGAGTGCTGATCAGGTGATTCCTGACTGACTGGATTAAGATTCCATTTCTGAGAGAGGTGAAAGTCTCAAGTTTTGATTTGGTAACATCGGGCTTAGCATAAGCAACTTCATTTTGGGTTTATGTCTCATTTTTAACACAAGAAAACAAGATGAGCGGAGATATGAAGTGCTGAGCAGTTAGTGTCTCTTAAACTTCAGCATGCTTAAGGACCACCTGGATCTCCTCTTCCTCTTTTCTTCTTTTGGAGACAGCTATGTGGGTGGGGAGGGAGCAGGAAGGCAGAAAGGGCAGAGGCAGGATCAGGAGTCAAAGAACCGCCTGCTGTATCCAACAGGTTGATTAAGCAAATACATTGAGTATAATGAGAGCCAAGTTTCCTCACTGTTAGAGAATGTATAAATATTGAAAGGGTAGGTTAGAAAGAACTCTGAGGTATTAAATTGGGATTAGAAATATTGAAATATTGGTGTGGACTCATGATTTTTAACCTATTCACATAGATAAATAGATCAATATACCCACAGATATATATACATTTATCTATATACAAACACACATAGTTTGGGTTGGCCAAAAAGTCTGTTTTGCTTTTTCCGTAAAAGACACATTTTTTATTTTCACCAATAGCTTTATTGATGTGGGTATTTTGAGTATGTCGGCTATTTCCCACATGGTATAATGTTAACTATTCTCAATTAATATCACTATTTGGTCGCTATCAACTTCAACTGGTCTACATGACTGTGGAGCATTGTCCAGTGAGAAATCTCCAGCATGAAATTTCGCAAACCACTTTTGATCTGTTTGATTATCACAGCACCTTCTCCATACACTGCACAAACTTTCTTTGCATTTCAGTTGCGTTTTTACCTATCTTGAAATAATAAAGCATAATATGCTGAAAATGTTGTGTATTTTCTTCCATCTTCGATATTAAAATGCTACACAAAAACTCACCGATGTTGATTATTTTTTAAATGCATGCTGATATGAAAGCTGTCTCAATACAGCCCAACAAAATTGTTTCAAATGAAGTTAAAGACAACTAAGTGCTACTAGAGTCATTTTATGGGAAAAACCAAATGAACTTTTTGGTCAATCCAATATTTCTAAGCTCAGTCAACTAAGAGACTAGAAAGCACCTTAATAGCAATGAGCACACCAAATGCCCAGATCTTGACTTTTAATACTGGCTTCCACAAAAGGAACCAAAGTTCCTGGAGAAATGGCTGATGTAAGAACTGGGACAGAGAAAGTAAAAGATTAAGCCTGGAACATTGTTTTATGGTAGAAATGTTCAAAACATCTCCAGGGGTGAGGCCTCAGAAGTAGAGAACTTTTTAGGGATCAAGTGATCCATAGTGTACCCTATTAAGGAGGAATCAAAAGAAAGACAGAATGGTGGTCTCTGAAGCTTTAGTGCTCTGAGGCAGAGGTAGAAATCTCTGAGGTTAACAGCGGGAGGTTGGATCGAAAAGAAGGCGGATGAAGGCCTTGAGTGGCTAGGAGAGTATCCAGGACGCCAGTAGGAGCTACAGCCTAAAAGAGGAAAGGGATATGTGGTAGGTTTTCTGAACTCCAGTGCAGGGAAGATTGATTGGGGAGGGTTAAGAAATGGTTGGAGGGAGCAGTGAGGATCAAAGTGTAGGCCGACCCCTTTCTCTTGTCCTTGGAGAGGAAGAGGAACACTAGATGGGGACCTCCTGGACTGTGCGTCATTTTGAAGCAAGAGACCGCTGTTTGGGAACACAGGATGAAAAAAGCCTTTTTTTCCCCTCCCCTCTTCCAATAGCCTACACTTTAGGGTCTCTTAATAACCTGGAAGAACTGATCCTTCCTACTGGAGATGGGATTTATCAAGTGGCCAAACTGATCATCCAGCAATGTCAGTATCTTCCATGTCTCCGAGTTCTCTTATTTTTCAAGACTTTAAATGATGACAGTATAATGGAAATTGGTGAGTTACCTTCAGGTAAAATGTTTCAGCTTGCATGAAAGCCAGTGTATTACTCAAGTTTTCTGCTGCAAGGTGTCTATAAAACCTCTTGTCTCACTAAAAGTGCTCAACCCACTTCCTCATTTTCACTATCTTATCATTCCTTCTTAGGTTCTGTTGATTCTGGTTCATTCTGGTCAGATTTGGAAATAAAAGATGCCCTTCCATTTGAGACTATACAAGCCTTTAAGTCTGTGTTCTTGACATCCACTGCTTTAGACACTTGGCCACATGCCTTCCATGTACTTCTTTTTATAGTACTTAAAGAAATTGAATATTAATACACATACATAAAAGTACACAAATTGTAAGTGTACAGCTCAATGAATTTTTATTTTCTTAGTACCTCAGTCTTTAAAGTTAGAATCCATGCTACAGCCATGGATTCTAGAGTGAAACCAAACTTACCCTTTGCCCAAATTAGGAAAAAGAGATTTAGGAATTAAAAACAAGAACAAAAACCTTGCTAGGTATCCACTTTCCAAGTGAGGCCGGCCTATGTTAATTGAGCACTTACTGTGTGCCAGGCCGCCTGTCCTCCTGAACCGCCCACAACCGGAGGCCCCCCGGCAATATAGGCGCAGTGGGTGGCAGTCGACAGTGAGAAGACGTGGCTGGAGGAATGTCAAATCTTCTCTGCAAAAGGGGAGATGCTGTGGTTGCCACCATCTCTCATGTGCCTTGTGACTTAGCCTGCTTCTTAGCCATGCTGCACTTTGACATCTGTCCTCCTGGGAGACCAAAAGAGAAATCCAAATATGCACAGAATGACAAAACTCTCATAGCAAAAGTGGCTTCGCTGCTCTAGCGCTTAGCTTTACCCCTCTGGTTTCTGCTTTTCCCTGGGGTTTTGGCCAGTTCTTTATTAACTTGTCAGCTCTTTGGGACTTTCAGAAGCTATTTTTAAAAATATTTTATTGGCATTTTCTACTTTTAATGGTGGTGGTGGTGATTGGAGAAGAGGTTGGCTCAAATAACCCAGTCTACCATTATTGAAATAAAAGTCATTATGATTCTGATTTCATAAATGTGTTGCTTTTATAGCCAAAGGAGCCCTCAGTGGAGGTTTCCAGAAACTTCAGAACTTAGATCTTTCATTGAATCACAATATTACAGAGGAAGGATACAGAAATTTCTTTCAAGCATTGGACAACTTGCCAAAGTTACAAGAGTTGAATATTTCCAGGCATTTCACCAACTGTATCAGAGCTCAGGCCACAACAGTGAAGTCTTTGAGTCAATGTATGTCACGGCTGCCGGGCCTTACCAGACTTAACATGTTAAGTTGGCTCCTGGATACAGAAGACATCGCGCTGCTTACTTCTGCGAAAGAAAAACATCCTCAATCTAAATACTTAACTATTCACTGGAAATGGATATTGCCATTCTCTCCAATCATTGAGAAATAGAAATTTAGTTAAAAACTACTGAATCAAGAAAATATTGGTCAAAAATTCTAAAAACCTAATTATCCAAAAATATTTATTAAATACTGCATACAAAATAATGTGTATAAAATATGTAAAGACATGTATAAAATAACAACAACCCTGCCCACACATGATTGAGCTTAAGAGACAGATTTAAAGAAAAAAAAGAGATTATCACCAGTACCTTTGAAGTCTCTGAATGGCACTGCCAACTAAAGTTGATGTACCTACATCAACATCAGGTTTTCAGGCTAATTACGGTAAAGAACAACAAAGCCACAGGGAGGAGGTTGAGGAACTTATGTTGATCTATCTTAAAGCTACAATATGGAAGAATTATATATGAAATGACCAACTTATGGCTTGAATCAGTTTCACACATACGTGAAACAAGAAGATTTCACTTTAATACAGGATGCAGATGTATCTTTTGTGGGCCAAAGATATCCCTTAATCCTTATAGAATCTATTCTATGTATTAAACTTTGGTGCAGTTGAATTTACTTATACCTTATCTTTATCCATTGCCAATGGGAAGAAGAAATAGGATTTAGGGGAAAACACTTTAACTCCAGAGGCTTTTGATTCAACATTACTGCATAAGCAAAAAAGCAGAATTTAGCATTACTGAATATTAGCTAAATTTGTTTTCCAGAAAATTGATTATCAATGCCTTTTTAGATGGCATTGTTAGAGAGTTCAACACATGCTATAATGGCCTTAGAATTTTCTTAAAATCCACTCTGCTCAGAGAGAATAGACTATACTGTCTCTTTGGTGACTTCATACAGATCAAGGTGTTAAATTTGCTGTGAAAGTCTATAATCAGGGGTGTCCAAACTTTTGACATCTCTGGGCCATACTGGAAGAAGGAGAGTTGTCTTGGGCCATGCATTAAATATACAAACACTAATGAAAATTGATTTGCAAAATAAAAGGTTCTAAGTAAATTTACAATTTTGCGTTTGGCCATATTGATAGCCACCCTGGGCTGCATGCATCCCATGGGCCGTGGGTTGGATACCCGTGCTACATCTTTTTCTACCTCCAGAATTTCACTCCTATTATTTAAGCTGAATTTTCTGAATGGCTAGAAGACTATTCCAAATTCATAATGCTCGTTTAAGGTGGAAAACAATCAGTCTTTAACCCTAATTTTTTTTTTTTTTTTAAACCAAAGAACAAGCCAATCCTTCCCTCCCAACCCAAGTATGAAACTTAGGGACAGTGTGTGTGGTATGAGCCCATTTACTTAAAAAAATATAGTCTCACGTTTCTAGATGCACTAAGAATTTCTGTAGTTTTACTTATATGTGGAATCTAAAGAATAGTATAAATGGACAAACAAAACAGAAACAGCCTCAGATACAGAGAGCAGACTAATGGTTGCCAGAGGGGAAGGGCGCTAGAGGACTAGGTGAAAAAGGCAAAGTGATTGGGAAGTACAAACTGGTACTCACAACACAGTCACAGGGATGTGAAGGGAATACGGTCAGTAATAGCGCGATTACCCTGAATGGGGCCGGGCGGGTGCTGAAATACCAGGGGGGGCACTTTGTAAAGCGCATGATTATGTAACTACTGTGCTGTACACCCGAAACTAATACAAAGTAATACTGAATGTAAACTGAATTTAAAAAAAAAAAATGTCCTGGAAGACTATACAGTGTTAATAGCGGTTAACTCCGAAGTGGGATTAGACGGCATTCTTTCTGCTTTCTCTCTTTTTCTATGGTCTTTTGTTTTACAAATGCCTGTACTGTTTTGATATTTAAAATAAAATTAAAAACTAGTTGACAATATTAACAGGAGTTACCTACCTCTGGAGGGTGAGATTACTGGAAGGGTGAGATGGGTTATCGTCTTGCTTGTCTGATTTTACGTGCAATACTTTTGTAAACAGAAAAGTTTTAAGTACTGTAACAGAGTCCAATCACGAGACAGATACCGCACATTAATTTAAATGGGGAAATTTACTATGAAGTTATTAACTGTATCAGGAATTAAGAGACCTCTAAGCAGATATAGGAAACAGCTGTAGGCTCTTCGCCTTATCCTGAGACAGAGCACCCCAAAAAGGAACCGCAGGGCTCAGATGCAGACCGCTGTGGAGAGGGCACAGGCGTGGATAACGGAGAGGCTTGCTGAGGCTCAGGAGGTGCAGTCCAAGGAGGCGCGAGCACTGGGGACTGTGCTGAGCAGGTGCCTCGGAGGGGTCGGGGAAGCCGCTCGTGTTGGGGAGCTGTGTGACGCTGAAGGGGGCAACGATCCAGGAAAAGAAGTCCCATGATCTTCTTGTGCTCCCCAGCACCCTCTACCGACAAGCTCTACACTGTGCGAGCTGACAGGAGAGAGGTATTTACAGGGTCCAGATCTATTATTGCAGAATAGGCAATGAAGGCTGGATTGGGACACAGTAACTTGATAACTGATACAAGTACGACTTATTAAATAGTTCATATATAAACAGAAGGAACTTAGTTAATTATTTTAGGATTAAATGATAGGATATATGCCACGTGCATATTTATATATTCACTGAAAACTTCTTAAATAATATCTAAGAAACTGGTAATGATGACTGACCTCAGGGAGCAGACCAGGATAGCTAGAGAACAGCAGCGGGAGAAAGGTTTGCTTTTTTTTCTCCTGCATGCCATTTGGTACAATCTAAATTCTGCACCATGTCCATGTATTTTTTTTTTAATCATGTTATTCTATTACAGGTGTCTCAATTTTTCCCCCTGGCCCCCCTCCACCCATCCCACCCTGCCCCCCTCTCCCATAGTCAATTCCCACTCTGTGTCCATGTCCATGGGTCATTCATACATGTTCTTTGTTTAGTCCCTTCTCCTTCTTTCCACCATTGTCCTCCTTCCCCATCCCTTCTGGTCACTTTCGTTTCGGTCTGCTCCATGTTTCCATGCCTGTGGTTTATTTTGTTCGTTATTTTGTTTAATAGTTTATTTTGTTGGATAGATTCCACTTATAGGTGAGATCATATGGTATTTGTCTTTCACTGACTGGCTTTATTTCACTTAGCATAATATTCTCCAGTTCCATTCATGTTGTCACAAAAGGCAGGCGTTCCTTCCTTTTTTTTTTTAATGCAGATTAATTTTTTAATCTATTTTTCTAAAGGTCAAAATCCATTATAAAATATTAAAAAATTTAAATCCGTTATAAAGTCTCAGCAATTAAATCAACATGACACCAGCACAGAAATAATCAAGTAGATCAGTGAAATGAAATGAGCATTCTAGAAACAAATGTATATATCTGTCTAACAATGTAATATAGGATTCAACTGATGTTTCAAATCAATGGGGAAAATAAAGCTTATTCAACAAATAAGGCGCATGGACCACTATTGAAATATAACAAGTATGGAGCCCTATTTCACACATTATACACAAAATATTCAGGTGAGTTAAATATCAATATGTAAAACCTAAGGAGTTTTAGGAGAAAATACAAAATAATGTTTTTCTTACCCTAAAGTAAAGTATTCAAACCCAGAAGCTATAAAATAAAATACTGACAATATGCCTATACTAAACATTTAAGACTCTATAGAAATATATGTATTAAAAAAGTTAAAGGACAAGTAATAGAATAGGAAAGTATTTGCAACACATCTAAAACAGGGTTAATAGTGGGGGGGGGTTAGGGAAAAATTTACACATTTAATAAAAAAATGGATAAAGAATACCAAAAAGTCATTTAAACCTTTTAAAAATAATAGGAATAGGCAAGAAATATACAAGAACAAGTTTAGTTTCAACAAATAATAAAGTACACTTAAAATAACACATCATTGTCACAATCAGATTAATAAGTATTAAAAATATCGGTAATATCAAGTATTGGTGACTGTGAAAGGAACTGAGTATTCATAGACTCTTTCTCTTCATCATCTTAAAGCAGTCCCTTTAACATCTTGTAATGTTGGTTTGGTGGAGGTGTATTCTTTTAGCCTTCTTTTGTCTGGAAAATTTATTTCATCTTCCATTTTAATTGAGAGCCTTGCTGGGTAGAGCAGCCTTGGTCGCAGGCCTTATCTTTTCATTACTTGGAATATTTCTTGTCATTCCCTTCTGGCTTGTAGTGTTTCTACTGAGGGAGGAGTCAGCTGCTAGCTGTACCAGGGCTCCCTATATGTTACTATCTACTTCTCCCTTGCTGCCTTTAGGATTCTCTGTTTGTCTTTGATATTTGCCATTTTTTTTAAATTAATTTATTTACTTTTTAAATACATTTGTCTCTGCCTACCCCCCCCCCCCCCTCCCACCTTCCCTCCCTCAGCTCTTCCCCTTTGGTTTTGTCCATGAGTCCTTGCTATATGTTCCTATATGATATTTGCCATTTTAATGATGATGTGTCTTGGAGTGGGTTTCATTGGGTTTCTTTTGAATGGGACCCTCTGTGCTTCCTGAACTTGTGTGACTTTTTCTCTCCTCAAATTAGGGAAGTTTTCCATCATTACTTTTTCAAACAGGTTCTCTATCCCTTGCTCCTCTTCTTCTCTTGGTATCTCTATTATACAGGTATTATTACATTTCAGGTTGTTCTGCATTTCCCTAAGCGCCTCTTCATTCTTTTTGAGTCTTTTTTTTCATTTTCTTGCTCTTTCTGGGAAGTTTGTCTACCTTATCCTCCAGCTCTCTGATTCATTCCTCTGCTTCATCTAGCCTGATTTTGATTCCTTATACCGTGTTCTTCAATTCAGAAATTGTATTCTTCATTTCTTCTTGTCTCCTGTTGATAGTTTCTATGTCTTTTCATGCTGATATAGTTTTCAGTAAGTTCCTCGTAGTTTCCCTGTAGTTTTTTGTAATTCTCTCTGAGCTCACCGAGCTTCCTTAAAACCGTTGTTTTGAACTCAGTATCTGGTAGTTTACTTGCCTCTATTTCATTTATTCTCTTTCTGGGGATTCCTCCTTTCCCTTCGACTGGGGGGTGTTTCTTTGTCTTCCCATTATTCGTGAAACTCTTCTTTTTTGCTTCTGATTCTTAAATTGATCTGTCTTGATTTCATTACTTTGTAGTGTGAACGTCTATGGTAAGAGACAGCTGTTTTTGATTTCTGGATCAGCCTCTGATGATGTCAGATGTTGACTCTATCTTACCTTCGGCAGTCTGTTAGGCAGAGATTTGCAGGAATCTACTCTCTGTGGCTGTCTCCTTCAGCTGTTAATCTAGTCACTCTGCACTCAGCAGGCTGGCTTAGAGATACCACAGGGTGGAACAGAGTCTCTCCTGTGGGCGGGATTTT